AGCTTTCAGGAGATAGGAAAACTGGCCATCTGCTTGCTTTCCATTTGAAATTGTGTTTATAAGTCTGTAAAAACATTGGCTTCCGTTACTGGCCGAGAAAACAGGGTTTCATGTGTATGCTCCGATTATCTTCGTCAAGACCAGTGGTTCTCAACCTGTGGGTCGGGACCCCATTTGGGGTCGAGCGATCATTTCACGGGGGTCGTCAAACAACGCAGTCCGCCATTTTCCCCCCCTTTTCCTTAGCTGTGCTACTCCCTTTTGTTCTATTGGCTTTTGAAAGCCAATAGAATAGACTCTCTTGAATAGAGTCTAAGTCTATTGGCTTTCAAAAGCCAATAGGAATTGTCCAGGCTGTCTCTGCCCTGCTGAGCCCGCCAAAAGTCCCATTCTGCAAACGGTGCTGCACCAGTTGAGTAGTCCTCGATTTACGACCGGTTGAGTAGTCCTCGACTTATGACCTATTGGGGGTCGTGGCATTAAAAAGGTTGAGAACCACTGGTCAAGATGAAATAGTCTCTGGTTCGGGCTTTGGTGCGTCCCGGATGGAGACATATTTTTTTTTCCTTTTTCAGGATACTTTTTAAATTTGTTGTGAGCCGGGATTGGACAAGAAAGTTTCCATGGGTGTTTTTGCACATTTGTTATTCCTGGTTTGGTATTACTCATAGGTATGGAAATGTCATTCCATGCCTGGCCTTGTCTGGTTCATTTCCCCTTTGGACAAGTTGTTGATCCATTTTGTGTTGTCAAATTGCAGATAGGTAGATAGGTAGGTAGGTAGATGGATGGATGGATGGATGGATGGATGGATGATAGATAGATAGATAGATAGATAGATAGATAGATAGATAGATTAGATAGGTGGGTAGGTAGGTAGGTAGATAAGTAGGTAGGTAGGTAGATGGATGGATTGATGGATAGATATATATATGATAGATAGATGATAGATAGATAGATAGATAGATAGATAGATAGATAGATAGGTAGGTAGGTAGGTAGATAGATAGACAGACAGACAGAGAGACAGAGACAGATAGATTAGATAGGTGGGTAGGTAGGTAGGTAGGTAGATAGATAGATAGATAGATAGATAGATAGATAGATAGATAGATAGATAGGTAGGTAGGTGGAGAGAGAGAGAGAGAGAGAGAGAGAGAGAGAGAGAGAGAGAGAGAGAGAAAGAGAAAGAGAAAGAGAGAGAATGGAGATTATGAACCAGAATTCATGGCTGCATCAAATTCAAAAAGTATTGTGATAGATTGTTGGCCCCAAGATGTAGAGCAGACCAAACCAATTTACTTCATATTAAGACTAAAACTACTCCCTTTTTACAATTCTGTAATCCTGTGATTCAAGGGTACAATTGGAGCAATTGGATGGAGCTGAGCATTTACCAGCCGGATGCCCTTCCTGACGTCGTGCAGAGTTCTCAGCAGATATTTTTTTCTTTGTACCCTAAGACAGAAATATCTGCCACTACCTAGGAATGAACTGTTAATCTTCTGAGTGGGAGGCGAGCATCTTCACCACTAGGCCCCCACACCATTCAATACGAAGACTAAAACTACCTTCGTTAAAATTGGCTTGGATAACAGAATCTGGTTACAGTTTACTTCTTCCTTCTTTAGACTCCCTAATTGGAATTATGGAGGTGTTTTAAGATATTTTCACATTCTTCCTTCCTTATTTGGACTTAAGAATGCTTTCTTCTTTGTTGTTTTGGTAACAGATCTTCCCTTTTAGAAACTGCAGAGAATATTTGTAGCTCGGCTGGTAGATTTAGGCAGAGGTTTGTCCTCTGAACTTGCTGCTTGGCTCCTGGATGTTTCATTACCAAACTAGGTAACATCTTCAGTGGGGTCAAAGATATTACCTAGTTTGGAAATGAAATGTCTGGGAGCCAAACAGCAAATTCAGAGGACAAACCTCTGCATAGATCTCCCCTTTCTCAAACCTCTAGAGCCCCGGTAGCACAATGGTTTGTCAAAGTCAATGAGCCAATGACTTTCCTTCATCCCACCTTGCCTCATGGGTTTATTTTGTTGTTGTTAGTTGCGAAATCATCCGACCCATCGGGACCCCATGGACGACATTCCTCCAGGCCTTCCTGTCCTCTACCATCTTCTGGAGTCCATTTAAGCTCACACCTACTGCTTCAGTGACTCCATCCAGCCACCTCATTCTCTATCATCTCCTTCTTCTATTGCCCTCGATCTTTCCGAATAGAATAGAATAGAATAGAATTTTTTGTTGTTGATAGTTGCGAAGTCGTGTCCGACCCATCGCGACCCCATGGACAACATTCCTCCAGGCCTTCCTGTCCTCTACCATCTTCTGGAGTCCATTTAAGCTCACACCTACTGCTTCCCTGACTCCCTCCAGCCACCTCATTCTCTGTCATCCCCTTCTTCTCTTGCCCTCCATCTTTCCCAGTGTTAGGCTCTTCTCCAGTGAGTCCTTCCTTCTCATTAGGTGGCCAAAGTACTTGAGTTTCAACTTCAGGATCTGGCCTCGATCTTTCCCAGCATTAGGCCCTTCTCCAGGGAGTCCTTCCTTCTCATTAGGTGGCCAAAGTACTTGAGTTTCAACTTCAGGATCTGGCCTTCTAAAGAGCAGACAGGGTTGATCTCCTCTATGACTGCAGTCCAGGGGACTCGCAGGAGTCTTCTCCAGCACCATAGTTCAAAGGCACAATGGTTAGAATGCAGTATTGCCGGCTAACTCACTAAGTCAATCTGACTGGCTCAAAGTTGACTCAGCCTTCCAACCTTCCGAGGTCGGTAAAAATGAGGACCCAGATTGTTGGGGGCAAAATGCTGACTCTGTAAACCACCCAGAGAGGGCTATAAAGCACAGTGAAGCAGTATATAAGTCTAAGTGCTATTGCTCTATGTCAATGACCCAACAGGACCACCAGATGGTAGTAAAGATTTAGAAATGTATGTCTTTGCTGCCACCTGGAAGGCATCTACCTTCTTACCTCCACTAACTCCATAGTTGATAACACAACTGCCTTAAATCAGAGGTCCTCAACCTTTTGGGCACCAGGAACCGGTTCCGTGGAGAGAGGTTTTTCCGTGGACCGAAGGGGCCGTGGTTTTGTGTGCTGCCTGCATCCCGCAGATGGGGCTTTGCTTGTTTGTGTGGACCGGTTGCTGGCATGCTGCAGCCCAGTACCAGTCCACGGACCGGGGGTTGGGAACCCCTGGCTTAAGGGAGAAGATGGATCTTGTCCTTCGTCTGATGGGTGGTGTCTGTAGTAGATCAAGCATCCTGGTCCTTGTAGGCAACCAAACTCCCCATCCACTCCTCCCCACCAAACTCCCCATCCACTCCTCCCACCCAGTCCTTCGGCTGATGGGTGCCTTAAATGATATCTGAGGGAGATTGCTCTCTTGAACTTAGTCCCTACCAAGCCATCATCTATATTGGTTTGCATAAACGTGTTGTGTAACCTCAGCTTGACCCAAACCCAAATAGTCTGGTATACACTTCACCAATAATGGTTTTCAATAAATCATAGGTAAAAACCCATGTCTTAAGTCCGGACTATGTGGATGATGCTCATCTCAGCCTTTTTCAACCCGGCCGTAAATGCAGCTGTAGGGGTTTTAAGAGCTGTAGTCCACCAGTGGACGATGCCATTCAGCCTTCTCTAATAATTAAACCTGCTGTGTACAATATAACCAACAACCATTCCTCGTTTCTTTAATCATCTTATGTAAGAATTTGACCCTTGTTCTTTGTCTAACATTACCGAATTAAAAAGAATGTGGCAGGATTTTTTTTTTATCTCTCCCTCCCCTCCACGCATTGCACACTCAGTCACTATTCTTTATTTGTACTTGAAATTAGATATAATTCCTCTTAATTTACATGGCTGTATTCTCTCGGGCAATCTCTGCCTCAGTCTCGCCTGGAATCGTTCAAGAGTTTTTGGGTGGGTAACCCACCCCTTGTTGATATTGGAAAGTGTTTGGGCCCAACACAAGAACTTAAATCTCTTCTACTGTAGCCGTGTATTTTAGAAATTCTTATAAAAGCAATTTTTAGGTCATTTGTCGAGCAGGAATTCGAGAAGAAACAGATGGTTTCTAATTATGCTGTGATTTTTTTTTTCCCAATAAATGGGGTCTCTAGTTGAGAAGGAAAAATACAAACTCTTAACGATTACAGGAGGGTGATGGAGGAGATTAATTTTATTAAATAAGATTTAGAAATGTACAGACTCAGGTGAAGCGAAACAGCCCTATATAAAAAAGCAACTTGTTTTCTGAAAATGGGTAAACTAAACATGGAGAAGAAGCTATATTTATACAGACTGTGCTTTATTTTTAAAAGAAAAATCTCTCGTGTATCAGTAAAGGATGATTAGAGAGTATCTAAAACTATAAAATCAAGTACAATTTAAGAAGAGCAATAATGATTATAGCAATTAAGAGGTATAAAAAGAATTGGGTCAGCAAATACTAGTCCAAAATCACTTTAGACAAGGCTTAAATCCCTGAGCAGATGATGTGATCCTTCCTTCCTTCCTTTCTTCCTTCCTTCCTTCCTTCCTTCCTTCCTTCCTTCCTTCCTTCCTTCTTTCCTCTCTCCCTCCCTCCCTCCCTCCTTCCCTTCCCTTCCTTCCTTCCTTCCTCTCCCCCTCCCCTCTTCCTTCCTCCCTCCCTCCCTCCCTTCCTCCCTCCTTCCTTCCTTCCTTCCTTCCTTCCTTCCTTCCTTCTTTCCTCCCTCCCTTCCTCCCTCCCTCCTTCCCTCCTCTTCCTTCCTTCCTTCCTCTCCCCCTCCCCTCTTCCTTCCTTCCTCTCCCTCTCCCCCTCCCCTCTTCCTTCCTCCCTCCCTCCCCTTCCTTCCTCCCTCTCCTCCTCCCCTTCCTTCCTTCTTTCCTTCCTCCCTCCCTCTTCCTTCCTTCCCTCCCTCCTCCTCCTTCCTTCCTTCCTTCCTCCCTCCCCTTACTTCCTACTCCTCCCTCCCTCCTTCCTTCCTTCCTTCCTTCCTTCCTTCCTTCCTTCCTTCCTTCCTTCCTTCCTTCTGAATTTGCTTTGATGTACTCTTTTTTTTCCTCCATGTCTTGGCCTAGGACTTTCACAGGATCCTTTATAGTTGACTGTTCATTCTTGAAATCGAAGCCCACATATTTTAATGTTGCCAGCATTTATTCTCATTTTTTCAAATGGGGAAAGAAAGACCTAGCATGGTCGTGATGGTGAAAGGAGCTTCTGATGGAAAAGGGAGCTGAGCTCACCTCTAACCCTCCGAAGGCCCTGGATCATGTCAGCTGCCCATCAATCTCTCTACATGTTGGCAGGGGAAGAACTTGTAAGTTTCTTACTGCTCTTTTCCACTGGGAGGCTAAGTGGTGGGTTCTGTTCCTAATTTCTGGAAAGGAGCTCCACTGGATCGAGCTGGGATCCTACTACAAGACACACCCACTCTTCAACGCCTTTGTTTAGGTGTCTTAACCCAGACTAAGCTATTGCATGATCTTACTCTTGCTTTGACTAATATTGTACCGCCCTCTAGCGATCGTATTTCTCCTTTTATATTCTCTTGCAGTCCCGTAGACTTTGTCTCCCACGAACTTTCTGACAGGCATTAAACTGGAAGACAAAGCAAAAGGATTTGACCTTACGAAACAGGCATCCTTCAGGTTTTTGATCGTGTAGGCTTGGGTTCGAAAAAGAATGATTTAATTCCAGGGGCAGGGTGTTTTGTTATTGGGAGGAGCCTCCGGGTCAAAGGAGAAGGGTGATAGGGGGCAAATCTATTTTTTCCAAGCTCGGGTGTCCATTTCAGACCTTGCCATCTCCAACACACAATTGTGTGTCCCCCAGTTCATTCTGAAGGCGGCAATCGCCAATGTTGCTTTTGTCCGGTGTTTCTCCAGTTTTACCTTTCCTCGGTTGTTTGAAGAGGCTCAACATCTCTTCCTTGTCTTCAGAACTTTGCTGTAATAGCGGATGGGGATCCCCGAGGATCCAATGAGGTACACATCGAAAAGGTAGGCCGTCCCTGCTTCCAGGCCCCTGATGGTTTCGGTAGTCACAGCTCGCTGCAGATTGAGACCGTGGAAGAATTTGCAGAGCACTTTTTCGCTCTTCTGCCTTGACTCTGGCCCAGAGCACCGATCAACCTTTCGGGTGGCCACCCAGGTTTGGTCCTCCTCAATCTCCTTCTTGTAGATGCAATACTTGCTCAGTTCCCGAGTTCCAAGCCAGGCGATGGTGACAGAATGGCAGCTTCTCAGTTTGTTCAAGGATCTGATTTTTAAACTCTCTGGCAGAGCTGGGAAGAAAGGCCTGTGGAAGAGAGAGGACACCTGAACCTTCACGGATGCAGCTGAAGTCTCGGTGGACCGGAGATGGACCAGGTAGGTATCTCCCAACCTTCCTTTCAGGGTGAAGTGCCTCAAGCCAGCAAATCTCTCTGACATCAGCACTTCCCCGTCCTTCGATATTTCCAAATGGAGTTGCCCGCTGCAAGACTGGAAGGCAAATTGAACCCGCTTCTGCATTGCCTGGTACAGCAAATTGTAAAAGGGCCATTTCCTCCCATCCAGTCTCAGCTGAATCGTCTTCCCATCCTTCAGTTTGCTCACGTTGGGCTCAGGATTTCCGAGAGTGCGGGCAAAGGTTCCGGTGTAAGCAGCACTGGTGTTGGTGAGGAAATTGATGGCAAAAACATCAAAGTAGTACTGAATGCCAGGAGTCAGGTGGGACACTGTGTAGGTGTTTGTGAGTCCCACACAGACTTCTTTCACTCGTGCGTCACTACCTTTGTCACTTATGCTGAATTCGCTCTTGGACGGCGCCTGTAGTTCCTGAGACGTGAGGCTACCTGCGGAGGGAGAGACCACCAAAGTAGGAGACCGTTTCACCCCTGAAGGTTGCATTGCCGTTTCTGCTGCACATAAAGACTTGAAATTGTAGTTTTCATTCGCCAGGAGACAATAATGAATGTTTCCTTGGGGTGGCAGGGCACTTGGACTCTGCTTCCAAGCCAGAGTTACTGTGGTGGGGCCAATCCCAACGACATCAATGCGGGGGTCCATTGGCAGTTCTGGATAAAAGTGATCAGATTTGGGGTCCGTGGTCAAATATGCTTTAATCTGGGTGTCTCTCTCAATGGAGAGGAATTCAAGCATGTAGACTGTGGAATGGCGAGACGCTCCTGTGTAGGTTTCCACCGAGTTGCCTCGATAACTAAAGAGAGTCCACGCCATCTTGGGACCCTTCTGGAATCGGAGGACTTCCTGAGCGTTCAAATTATCTGTCGATGAAACAGAAGATGGGCAAAGCTTTTAAAGTTGACAAGAGACGGGTAAGGCACACATTGACCAGTGCAGTGGTTCTCAACCTTTTTAATGCCGCGACCCCCAACCGGTCGTAAGTCGAGGACTACTCAACCGATCGTAAGTCGAGGACTACTCAACTGGTGCAGCACCGTTTGCAGAATGGGACTTTTGGCGGGCTCAGCAGGGCAGAGAGAGCCTGGACCGTTCCTATTGGCTTTTGAAAACCAATAGAATTAGACTCTATTCAAGAGAGTCTATTCTATTAGCTTTCAATAGAATAAAAGGGAGGAGCACAGCTAAGGAAAAGGGGGAAAAAATGGCGGACTGCATTGTTTGGCGACCCCCGTGAAATGGTCGTTTGACCCCAAATGGGGTCCCGACCCACAGGTTGAGAACCACTGGACCAGTGAATACAATGTAAGATACCTCGAGGAAGTCTACACTGTTATCTGTTTTGATTTTTGGGAATCTGGAAACAACTTTTGAGCTCTTCAGGTCATGTTTAAGTTGAGCTTGAAGTCTATGTAATTTTCCAGAGAGTACAATGGAAGGGGTTTCTGTTGCTGCCTTCTGCAATTGTTTTTTTTTTTAACTTTCTAGTCTAGGCTACCTCTTGGAGTCTCCCCTCCAAGTATTAACCAAGCCTGATCCTGCTTAGCTTCCAGTCCCAGCAGGGATTTTGCTGGTGCTGAGACTTTAATATTAAAAGTTTTAATTATGGATAGAAATCTTGTTGGTTAATAGTTGGTACAAATCAGGTTCCAAATGAATCTAAGTTAGTCTTCCTTTCATACTCTATCTAGATCTTGTTAAGAGAAATGGAATGGAAGAAGGAAAAGCTGAGAGGGAGTGAGTGAGTGAGGGAGTGAGGGAGGGAGGGAGGGAGAGAGAGAGAGAGAGAGAGAGAGAGAGATATTTTTCACCTTCCCTCTTGCTTACCAGAAATTGTTTTTCCAAAATAGTTTGCCGATGTTTTAGGAACCCGTATACTCCACTCAATGGGGACATCACATGGGGTTATTCTCACTGTGAAGAATGCAGAGATCTTGCTTTCTTTTGGAACAAAATAGCACCTGGAAATGGATGTTGTTTTTCATTTTACATCACAGAAGGCAGAAAAAAACCCCAAATGATCTTAACATAAATGATGCGGTCAGAATTTAATGGAGTCATTTAGCTAAAAGAATTCCTGTGAATATTTTATTTGGGAAACATAAGTTTGATCAATCTGAAGAGAATCAAAGCACCTTCCAATAAAGGTGGGAAGGGCAGAGGTCCATGGGAAGTTGGTTTTTGGAAACCTTCTCCAACGTCCATGGCAAAACAACACTTCGTTGCTGAAGTTATCCCTCTGAACGCAGTTTGGGAACCTGAGGGATGTCATAAAACAAACCTTTGGACAGAAGACTTTAATCTCAAACCCATAAACAGAAATCGTTCTGTAGAAGAAAGTGACCCAAAATGGAAAGGAAAGAATGGTCCCCTCACCGTTGAGGCATCCCTTTTGAGAGGAAGATTGTCATTTCCTTGCCCTCTGCAAGCATGAACATCTGGTAGAAGTGGAACATCTCATTCTTCAGGTTTTGCTGTAAACCAACAACCGTGATTAAAGGATGGCTGAAGCACATGACCAGAAGAAACCAGGAAGGCAGACACATCTGTGGTCCAGACATCTTCTGTGCTGCAGACCTAGGAGATAATAAGACTCTGAATAGGCTTTCTTAAGTGTAATGGATTGTTAATCAGCAGTTTCAAGCACTACAGAAGACAAATAAGATTGGTTAGACATTTTACTTGTGTTAGGTGACCACTTGGGTCCTGCCAAAATTTGGTATAACTTGGAAAGCCTTCTAGAATAGAAGTTGTCACTTTTCTTGATGACCAGGTGGGATGTCCAATGATTTCTAACTGCAAATGGTGGAAAGACTAAATAAGAGGTGGAGGAACAAAGTCTGTGAGAAATCAGATGGGTATCATCTGTGACTAGCTGTTTGGAAACAGCCCTTGTTCTTCCCTTCTCCCTTTTCTCTTCAGTGGATCCTCCAGGAAACAAAATCACCGGTTCTACAATCATGTCAGTTCCTTCCAATGGCAGTGCGATTCCTTTCTTGTGTGCTGACACATTTATTACCTACACTTTTTAAGGAGACTTGAGGGTGTGAGTGTGAATCACTTGGTTAGGAAAGAATATTATTTTAAATGTCAGGAGAGGAAGAAAAGGAGAGAAGCGTGACGATGAGAAGGAAGGACCAAGGTTTGAAAGTAGAAGATAACTGTACTTGTGTCTGCAGGCAGGGGGTGCTCTTAGAACAGATTAAGGGGCAGCCCCTTAAGCTGATCTACATGTTAAATAAAGAATTTTCTGTAAAAAAAAAAAAAAAAATCTGGTTTGCAAGCCATCGAAGGGAGTACGTAAGACTGCAAAAAACATTAAAACCAGAAACTCACTTTTGAAACGGTATTTTTTTTAAAAAAATATTACTTTGTGAGACTAAAATAATTATCCACAATATCAGTGATGTTCCATAATACTTTTTAAAAAAAATTAAATTGTAAGTAACGTTTGATTCTACATTTTTGTGTATAGATATTCATTTTAGGTTTTAAATGACAAAAATTCGGTTTGAGCAGGTTAAACAAGTGATAAAATATGAAAAAAAAAATGTCCCAACCAACTTGTTTTGCAGCATATTCAAACGTTTTATAATAGTCTCCAGGATAGATAGATAGATAGATAGATAGATAGATAGATAGATAGATAGATAGATAGATATAGCCGACGAAAGCTTGACATTAGAATAAATATTTCTAGTTTTATATTTTTCCTGGTGTTCGTGTTTGTTTGCTCTTATTTTATATATGTATGTATGTATGTATGTATGTATGTATATATGTCTTTGGTTGTTCGGGTTTTCTCCCGCGTCAAATTGGAAGTGTCTTGGCAAGAAAACCCGAACAACTAAAGATCTACATACAAACACCCGCAAAACCTCAGAAAACACACACACACACACACACATATTGAAATGGCTTTTTTTCCCCGAGTTTCCTGGATCGTGTTCTCTTATGACAGAAATGTCTGAAGCTCATTATATGGGAATTAAAACAGGATTTTGTATGGGTGCTGCCATCTGAAAGTAATATATTGAAAAGTCTGAGGAAGACCGATCTCCTAGATGTAAGAAATGGAAACAAAGGAAAGAGATTTAGCCTAAGCAGATTGGTCAAATAAATCACTCTTAACAACTTAAAAGAAACAAAGGAGAGCTGACAGGAATGGGCAGCGTGCTATTTTATTTCTCTTACCTTGCGCCAGATGTTCTCAGGTAATTCTGTGCAAAGCTTCAGAGCAGCAACTGCTGAGCTAGATTTTTTGGAGAGCTTTGCTGGCAGATGTAAAAGCATCACCCAGAAACCTATTCAGCTGGGCAAAAAAACGACCTTCTTGAGAGATTTCAAAGCAGAAGGATTCCTTGAGAGGAGAAAGGATTCTTGAGTTGTTTCTCTTTAGATGGGAAGGTCTTTGAAAGCTGAAGCTCTGCTTCTTAGGGTTCCTCCAAGGAAGTTGCAGCCCTGATTTCCTGAAAGTCCTCTGCAGATGGAGAAGAGCTGGAAGGGCTTAGAAGGAGGCCAGACCCCAGGGTGGCTGCTTAAAGAGGGTCTTTGGCAGAAACAGGGAAGAGGGTCAGTGGGTAGATGTGTTCGTTTAACCCTTTCGTAGGGTTAGCTGGCCGAAAATTGTCTCTTCTCCTCCCTACCCTGTGTAGGGGATTGGATGGGTTTGACCTACTTCCAGAAATACGTTCAGCCAGAATTGAGTGCAGGCAAGATGTCTTTAGTAGAACTGAGCCTTCAGTCTTTGGAATAAAATCTCTATGCATCAAAAAAAGAAAAGAAAAAAAAAGTGTGTGTGTGTGTTAATATCTCTGTAGGTGCAGTATTTTGATTTTTCTAGTCAAATCAACCTTTACGGTCAAAGTACAACATGTGTACAATGAGATTGGCTAAGCCTCCTTTCGTGCACACACACCCCCAACACAACTCACAGTGACAACAAACACACAATCCCATTACACCACGTGAACCCATTGCACAACGCGCCGGCCCCACAAGTCTATCATACATGGAGTCATTTCCCATTCAGGAGTCTGACAGCCCACGGGGTAGAAGCTGTTCTTCAGCCTGTTGGTGCAGCTGGCTATGCTTCTATATCTTCTACACCCAATGGTAGGAGAGAGTAAAGAAGTGCTGACCAGGGTGGGAGTCGTCCCTGAGGGTTTTCCTCACTCTTCTAAGCTAGCGGGCCCTAGCGATGTCATCTAGTGGTGTCAGGGGACAGCCCACGATGGTTTGTGCTGTGCTCACCACTCTCTGCAGTGTCTTTCTATCTGCGGCTGTCAAGCCAGCATACCACACCATAATGCAGTGTGAGAGGACGCTTTCTATGGTGGACCAGTAAAAAAAGGTCATTAGTCGTCGTTCCACTTTGTTCTTTCGCCTATAGTCCATACCTTAAAGCAGTGGTTCTCAACCTGTGGGTCGGGACCCCATTTGGGGTTGAACGACCATTTCACGGGGGTCGTCAAACAAGGCTGTCCGCCATTTTTTCCCCCTTTTCTTTGGCCACGCCCCTGGCACCCGGTGATGTATAAGTAGTTGGGGGTCACCACAACATGAGGAACTATATTATGGGGTCGCGGCATTAGAAAGGTTGAGAACTACTGCCTTAAAGACATTAAGTAACATAGCCCATACCTTAAAGCCTTAGTAAGAGCACACTTGAAATACTGCATCCAATTCTGGTCACCACAATATAAAAAAAGATGTTGAGACTCTGGAAAGAGTGCAGACAAGAGCAACAAAAAATGTTTAAGGGGCTGGAGGCTAAAATGTATGAAGAATGGTTACCAGAATTGGGCATGTTTAGTCTAATGAAAAGAAAGACTAGGGGTGACATGATAGCCGTGCCCCAATATTTGAAGGGCTCCTACAAAGATGAGGGGGGTCAAACTATTTTCCAAAGCACTAAAAGGCAAGACAAGAAACAACAGTTGGAAACTAACCAAGGAGAGAAGCAACCTAGAACTAAGGAGAACTTTCCTAATGATGAGAGCAATCCACCAGTGGAACGACTTGCCTTCCAAAGTTGTGGGTGCTACATTGCTGAAGGCTTTCAAAAAGACCCCGGGAAACCATTTGTCTGAAATGGTATATGGTCTCCTGCTCAAGCAGGCGGTTGGATTAGAAGACCTCCAAGTCTTTTATTCTATGTTCTATGACACAAAATGAGCCGAGGTGGCGCAGCAGTTAGAGTGCAGTACTGCAGGCCACTTTAGCTGACTGCGTTCAGCAGGTCAGCGGTTCAAATCTCACCGGCTCAAGGTTGACTCAGCCTTCCATCCTTCCGGGGTAGGTAAAATGAGGACCCAGATTGTTGGGGGCAATGTAAATATATATATACATTGCTTACTGGTGTACACCGCTTAGAGAGTGCTTGCACTTAAAGCGGTATATAAGTCTCATAAATAAATAAATAAATAAATTTGTGCTTTCGAAAAGCCCGGGACAAGGAACGCTTGTGGTGGGCTCCAACTATCTCTCCTCCTGACAGTACCAAGCATGCAAGGAGTTAACTACCATCCCTTTTTAAAAATGATTATTTTTCCCCCCCTGTCTTTCAGCTCCTGACACCCCATCTGTTCCAGACACCACCCTTAATTCTTCCCACTATCCTTCAGGGAAAGCAGGGCAATACTTTGGAATTTTAACAATCCCGAACAGATTGGAAGCTGCATACGGACAAAAGGATTAAAAATTCAATCACATTTGCTATCTGGGCATTAGAAGCCTCAAGGCTGGCACGATGAATATTTTGCTCAGCATGGATATTAAGCAGTTATCAATCCCTTTGTCTTCCCCAGGGACCAGCAGACACAATTGTACTCCATTTCAAAAATTGAACAAATATGTTCAGATCCCACCTAGCAGATGCTGTTGATTTGGCTGACTACGGTGAGGGCAAGACACACACGGGGGTCCCGGAGATTGAAATGTAGGGGCTAAGAAGCCCATTTTGTAAAAGATGAAGACGGAAATAGAATAGAAATAGTCTTTGTACAAATATTATGGATTGACTCAGTCTTTGGGAACCTGCAGTCAGTTATCATTTGTTAATGTTGTGTAGTATTGATAAGGCAGCAATAATGAGAAAAGACCCCTGGTAAATTTGCATCTGTATTTTCATCTCATTGAAACAGGCATAGATTTTGAGACAGCATATTACATTTAAAGCAGTGGTTCTCAACCTTTTTAATGCCACGACCCCCAACCAGTCGTAAGTCGAGGACTACCCAACTGGTTATAAGTCGAGGACTACTCAACTGGTGCAGCACCATTTGCAGAATGGGACTTTTGGTGGGCTCAGCAGGGCAGAGGCAGCCTGGACAATTCCTATTGGCTTTTGAAAGCCAATAGAATTAGACTCTATTCAAGAGAATCTATTCTATTGGCTTTCAAAAGCCAATAGAATAAAAGGGAGTAGCACAGCTAAGGAAAAGGGGAAAAAAATGGTGGACTGCGTTGTTTCGCGACCCCTATGAAATGGTCGTTCGACCCCAAATGGGGTCCCGACCCACAGGTTGAGAACCGCTGATTTAAAGGGATGTCCACATCACACATCCTTCTCTGAAATTGGAATAAAATAGAATGGAATAGAATAAGAAATAGAATAGAATAGAATAGAATAGAATAGAATAGAATAGAATAGAATAGAATAAAATAGAATAAGAATTAGAATAGAATAGAATAGAATAAGAAAAGAAATAGAATAGAATAAAATAGAATAAGAATAAGAATAGAATAGAATAAGAAAACAAAATAGAATAGATTAAGAAAATGAATAGAATCAAATAAGAAAATAGAATAAAATAATAGAATTGAATAAGAAAATAGAATAAGAAAATGAATAGAATTGAATGATAGAATAGAATAGAATAAGAAAATAGAATAAGAATAGAATAGAATAAGAAAATGAATAGAACAGAAGAGAATGAATAGAACTGAATGATAGAATAGAATAATAAAATAGAATAAGAATAGAATAAGAAAATGAATAGAATAAGAATAGAATAGAACAAGAAAATGAATAGAATAGAAAAAGAAAATAGAATTGAATAAGAACATAGAATAAGAATTAGAAAAGAATTCATGCATATTATGGAATAGACTAATATCTCATTCCACCCCCTTGAAATAAACAAACACAAAATCACAACATTAAGGGAAAAATATTTAGAAGTTGTTTCCTTATAGGAAATAGGAGACTATTGTAACTGGCTGGGGAATTCTGGGAGTTGAAATGCACGAGTCTTAAGGTTGCTAAGGTGGGACACCCCTCCATGTTCCTGAATCCATCCCTCCTTTCCTTCCTTCGACAGAATATTAAGTTGACTGGGGCAACAGAAGACGTGAAGCCAATATAGAAATCTATTTGAATAATTACCAATTAGCTACTAGTCAAATTAAGTGATTAGGTATCAGGTTGCATTTGCAAAACACACTGGCTATATTGTTCCAGCTGACTCACCCATTTTAAAAAAAAAAGTCTCTATGAGCAATTGCTCTGAACTTTTCCACTGATCATGGCTGGCCTACAGCCCTGTCCATCAAGAGATTTAATTTCACCTCTTCTCAGTGACTAAATTAAGACACATCCCTTATTCCAACTATTTGGTTATGGTTAATAACAACTACAGACGTGTGATGCAGTAGTGGCATTGTTGCATGAAAAAGGCCTCAAAAATCCAATTAGAAACCTGACAGAGTAAAGAATCAATGTCTACCTTTAGGTCTGGAAGGAGCAATGAGTTAAAAAATGTAAGCTAGCTGAAATCTTGAAAGTCAAACCCAAATTAGGCAATGGCTACCTCCAGGATTGCTAATGGAAGAAGGCTACTATAGCCCACTCTGTATTACATAGCATCTCCATTCTCACACATCTCTTCAGGGCTTCGTTGCCCTTCAGACAACCTTCTCTTTTAAATGTGCAAATACATTTCAATGCCCCCAATTTATCTTCCTACTTTAAGAAGAAGGGGGGAGTAGGTTTCCAATTATTTCTTGTGGAGTTTGACAGCCCACACCAGCTTGTCACTACCACCTGCGAGGAGCTCACAGCAAGCTCTCACATTCTGAAGGTTAGTTCTGTGTCTCCCTTGTCTTTCTATTCCCTGTTTCCCCTCAGTCTTCATTATCCCTTCACTTGTACAGATGGCTCCTTTCTGAGAGTTCTCTCCCCATTAGTGGTTAATTGCAAGGGTCACCCCATGGCCCTTCAGCATTGGGAGATTGGGGTTCGGACAATAAAACTGCTAAAAGAGAGGAAGGTGTCAGATGTCAGCCAGTGCATGGAAGACGGAGGGGAAAGACCAGCCCTGAACAGTCTCGACAGAGTGAGGCGGTTGTGAAGATGCTGGATTAGGAGAGAATTACAAAATAACAGAGTTGGAAGGGATCTTGGCGGTCTTCTAGTCCAAACAGGAGATCCTACACCAGGGGTAGGCAACCTTGGCTCTTTTATGACTCGTGGACTTCAACGCCCAGAATTCCTGAGCCAGCCATGCTGAGGGGAAAGGGAGAGGTTTCCAAGCTGAGCCATGCTGGCTCAGGAATTCTGGGAGTTGAAGTCCATGAGTCATAAAAGAACCAAGGTTGCCTACCCCTGCCCTACACCAATCCAGACAGATGGCTGTCCACTAGGATAGGGGAGCCTCTGGTTAAAGGCAACTTTGGCTGATCTTTCTCAATCCATTCCACAGGTTTAATGTGATGGGGTAAAATGAAAGGAGATAGATAGATAGATAGATAGATAGATAGATAGATAGATAGATAGATAGATAGATAGATAGATGATAGATAGATAGATCAGACATGTCAGACACAAGGCCTGGGGGCCGGATGCGGCCTGCAAAGTGGTTTCA